ACCGGCTGCGGGGCGATGGGTTCCCGCGTGGGGAAGAAGCGGCAGATGCTCGGCTGTTGCCCAGCGGTAGCCCCCGGATCTCACAACCCAGCTGGGAGTACAAATGCTAAAATACAGAAGAAACCAACAAGACACTGGCAATGCCAGGAGATGGGAGCAACCCCTTACCCCCAGCAGACAGGGCTTTGCTGGGAGACGCCAAGCTTGGGCCCGTGACACCGTCCGTGATCTGCTACATAACCCCCACCTCCCCTCCACCACTTGAATTGGCTTCACCATGGCCGGCATTGCTAAGCATTTGCCCTGAAGTACCCAGGTGGAAGGTTCTGGGGAAATCCGAGAGCCCTAGTTACAGCCTCATAGTTTTAATGACAGGCAATAATTTGGGGGGCTAATTTCACCGCTCAGACATGCCTTTTAAGGAGACATGGCCCTGTCCAGGGAGGGAGAAAAGTACCATGAGTGCAGTGCTGTGTCAATGCATGTCAGTAACTTTCTGTGTGGCTGAATAATGGGTTCCCTGTCTTCTGTGTTTCAGTACTTGGCATAGGCCATGGGAACAAGCTGCTCACTGATCTGTACAACTGCCACCTGAACAAGGTAGGTGATGGCTCTGAAGGGCCTGAGAACATCTGAACACAGCCTCACACTTGATTCCTGCCCCGGTGCCCTGGGCTGGCCTTGTGGTGGTGATTCTGCTTTTGAGTCTCCAACCCAACAATGCTTTTGAGAGATTTTCAGGGTCCAGAATTCATCCTTCACGCTTCACGTGAGCATCCACACATGGCTACATGAGCAGAGGATGCTGCTTTCTTTTTGTGCATCGTCATCATCATCAAGGCCTGCACTTCCTAGAGTTGCACAGCAGAATATTGCTGCTCAACTGCTCGGAGTATTTCTTTGACAAATTGCGTTCTTTGCCCTTCTTCAAGGTTTACACTGTCGGTGGGCTGTTTGGTAAAGCCACTGATGACTTCTCAGACACAGGGACGCTAGTGGAGAAGACAACATTTGGTAAGAAACTCAACTGATACATTTAAAAGAAAAAACCCGAACACCAAACAAATAGCATTTTAACTGCAAAGCATTTAACCTGGTAAATTGCACAAAGATAAAAGGTATGCCTTAAATGCTGCCTACTTTTTATTTGTACATGCAGCCCATGCACAGTCCTAACATCACAGTCCTGGGCTAAATACAACAGCAACCTATAGAAAGACAGTCTGAGTCCTGATCACAGTGGTTGCTACTGGATTGGGCGGGACCCAGATCTCTCCATAAATCATACCTAGGGGTAGGGGTTAGGACCTTTCATAGAATGAAACTCTTCAAACAGCTGATAAGAGAAACTGGAGCCAACACTCTGAAATCAATTAAGCAAAATGATTCTTCCCATTGTAGTGCTGCTCTGTGCATTATGGTGGTACAGCCAGGAGAAGTGATTCTAGTGATTCTGCTAAAGCCACCTCTTGGTAGTTCTCATTAGCCCATCTCAATGCAACAACCTGCCAAGGGGACAGTAATACCCTGATGGCACTGAATTCCAGACTTCTGTCTCTTTCCAGTTTCTGGATGGATAATTGAGACCTTGTTTCTACCTTAATGTTTGCAGATCATATCACAAGGGAGAAGCTGGAACGGATTCTTGCTATCATTCAAGGAACAAATCACAAGGCGCTGCTGATGTACGTATCCAATGGGGAAATGCAGCTGACTGGCATTTGCTGGTATTTAAATAAACGAGATGATTTTGTTTGCTATAATCAAAGTCTTTGAAGGTTGGAGTGCTAGACAGGAACAGAGAGAAGTTACTCTGAGTGTTCTGTACTCTGGTGAGAGGTTGCAGTTAAGTGTCCTTCTTGTATCCTGAAATCTCCAGCTATTTTAGGACCTATTAGCTACACAAGGACCTACAAAAATACCTCATAGGCATGACCAAGTACCTCCCTCCCAAACTGTGCTACACTACTAATGGTGTATATATAGTATTAAAATGTACGCACAGACTCAACACATAGGCAGCTTCAAGAATAAAAATGGTAGCTCCGCTGTATTGGGAGCAGAGATATTTTGAATCCATTTGAAGAGAAGTACTAAGTGTCTGTTCCTTTTTTGCCTTTTTCCAGGTATTCAAACATTGATATGAAAACACAAGAGGCATACGAGCTGGCTGTCAGAGGGTTGATTCGCCCCATGGGAAAAAGCCCTCCAATAATCACAGCAATCCGATGCCTCCAATTTGAACTTCCAGAATTCCAGCTAGGTAGGACTGGTACAAAACCAACCAGGGAAGTCTGGGTATATATTATGACAAATAAGTCTGTAACTTCAGTTTCTTATTCATGATTTAATGCAAAATGAGTTGGTGGGAACTTTATCAACTTGCAACTGGCAATCCCTGCAGAAAAGGTAACAATTTGTAGTTTCAAAAGTCACAAAAGCATCTCCTCCTCCTTAGATGAACTCTTCAGTGCAGTGGAAAGATTTTTTTGGTAGGGCAAGCTCTGGAACCCTCACACTACTGAATGTGCTGTAGTTGATCCAGCCTGCTGTGCACCTAGCTCACAGGTTTTTCCCTGTCAGTTCCAGACCAAAGACTGAGGCAAGGAAACTTGCATAGTGAATACCTATGGGGCAAAATTCTCCTTTTTCCCATGTTTCAGTGTAACGCAGTTCAGTGTGGTTGGGTGGTGGTAGTTTTTGGGGTTTTTTTTTTATAGTGTGGTTTGTTTTCCTGCAACCAGTCTCCTACTCCTCACAAATTGTCTTATTAAAAAGGTACTTTTTCTTATCCCTTTGGAAATACCTGAATTTTTACATTAGTCTCCTGTCTCTGAGTTTTTCTAAAACATTCACTTTGGGAGGTGCTTGGACACCCTGCAGTATTCCAGAAAATCATAGTCCACCTGTGCTGTATCTGAAATAGTCTCTTCTAGCAAACCAGTTCTTTCAGCATAACTGAGAGAGGTATCTGGATTTACAGACAAGGTCTGAGTTTGTGTCAACACTTTGCTGCTTCTGACAGAATCTCTCTGTCCTTCTAGAAATCCATTGCTTGCACGAGACTCAGCAGTACCTCCGGAAAATAGTTCATGAGATTGGTCTGGAGCTGAAATCATCTGCTGTGTGCACACAAGTGCGAAGAATACGCGATGGTGTTTTCACACTGGATGATGCTCTCCTGAGAAACCAGTGGAACCTGCAGAGCATACAGAATGCGATTTGGGACTGTCAGCTTAAAGTGAAAACAGAGTTAGAGAAAACACTAGGCCATCAGGATAAAAGTCATCTGCACAAGATGGATGCTGAGATGGCCCACACCACGGACAGCTGAGCGTGTGCTACAGAGGGAATGTCCACAAGCAATCTCTGTAGCACAATAACGCAGCTACGTGCTGACAGCATGATGGACAGTAGAAGGAAAGAGGTTAATTGCAGTTCACTTCCACCCTTTCCTTGAGATGACTTTAATCAGAGGGGCATTTTTTTTTCAGTGACAGGCTGTGGGTTTTTTAAAGCATCACAAACAATTCATTAACAGGAGTTAGCTGTGCCAAAATTCCTGTTGACTTCAGGAACATTAGGTTGCTAAGGGATATAAAAACCCATCCCCAAATTGTTTAGCAGCAGGAAATAGTGTCTTACAGAGCTGTATTCCCTTGATTGCACGGATTTGTTTGTTCCTTGCAACTGGCAGCATAACTGATCTACATGTGGATTTTATTTTCCCTCTGTTGTCCTAGAGTATTGTTTTTCCATTAGTCCTGCTTTCAGACACAGAACAGCTCAAAATCAGACTGAAAGAGGGATGTACAGGAGAAAACACAGCTCACACAGAGCAATGCAAGGAAATGGTTATATCCAGAGTAGGCATCTGTGATGAGGAGAGGCTTGTAATAGGCACTGATGCACAAGATATAAAAAAAAAAAAATAAAGTGACCTAAAGGGGGAGAGGCTGTTTCTTGGCTGAGCACTCATCTGTGAGTACAGACTCATTAAAAAAGAGCATGCTGCTTTTTATTTTTTTTTCCTCCAGAGGAACCAAGGGTGTTCAGGGGTCTCTGGTATCCTGCTCTGCAGCAGCTCTGTGCAGACAGCATTTACTGCCCTTCAGTGAAACTCTGTGAGCTCTGTAATACCATTTGTTATGTTAGCTCATGATAGCTGGGTCTGAATTAGCAGAAGTAAGTTTTCTAAATTTAAATTAAAAATCTGAAGTTACACTTACCATTATTACATTCAGTATTTTTCCAGCTACACACATTGTTAGATATTTTTGACATTCACAAAGAGTTTTGTTCTATTCCTCTTCTGGATTTGGACAGAGGCCAGCATATTTTATCCTCCAGATAGTTGTTAAAATACAAGAAGTAACTCTGGGAAGAGCAATAAGAGGGGCCACGATGAAGTACCTAACTGGCAGAGCCCAATCTTGTCCTGAAGCATCCCAGGAGTCATTAACTTCAACCCTGGAATCTTTTAGTTGTTCTGGGTTTCCCTGCTCTGCACAGAGCAGCCAGAACAGCAGCGGAGCAGAGCTGCCGCCACGTGGCACATTACTGTGCCAGCTGCGGAGCCACAGGGACTCCCCAAGGGCGGTTTGCTCTTACCTCAGCTGGTTGGTTCTGTGTGTTCATCCTCTGTGGACAAGGGACTGGGGCCAGGGCACCTTCCTCAGACAATGTCTTGTGCTAACTGAAGTGTAAACCCATCACCATGGAAGCACGAGTTCTGGAACTGGGCAGAACACTTGCATGGCTACAGCTGCAAGTTTTAAAACCAGTGCTATTACAAGGAAGAGGAGAAGAAAACATGGATTTCTCAGTCCTTAAATAACCTTCAGTAGCTTTGGTAATGAAGTATACTTCATCCCACGTGGCTTACACCTAATGCAAGCCAAAGGAATTTCTATACATACTTGCCATTGCAAAAAAAAAATTCCAGTTGCTTGTGCCATTGCCAGACTTAACATTTTGGCTAAAACACCACAGGCTAAATCAGTTCTTTTATAAAGAAAAAAATAGCCAAAACAGCAATGGGGGTTTTGAGAACAAAGTTAGTATTTCCCAGTTCTAGCATTCTTGAGACTTTTCTTCCTCCCCTTAAAGCTACACCAAAACATAGGAGTTTTCCACACTTGGCAAGAGGGGAGTGATGGGGAGGATATAACTGTAACCATACCCATGAGAGCCCGTTCTTACCTGGCCACAGTAAATACCCTCCAGAGAAGCACAGGTGCACAATAGCAGAGACTTGATTGAATGAATCACAGAACACAGCTACATTGTCTGTCCCCCCGCTTTAGACACCCTCCCCAGGGCTTTCACGGCAAAACAAGATACTTATTAGTGATGTTTCTGCACCAGGTCCAGAACAGAAAGCACAAAACCAATTCTCTATTCTCAGCAGCAGCCTTTGTGACCATTTTCTGGTTTCCAAGCATTATGAAGACAGATGAATTTGATTCAAATTTGGAAATATAAGCAGACTGCAGCATGGGCCTGACTGGAGACCAGGGGGGAACTTAGTGGCAGGAAGGTCTTAGAAGTAGAAATGGGCAGAAGGACGTCAAGCTTGAGTGAAAAAGGGACAATGGATCTGCAGTCAGCAGAGCACTTCATCACTTTAAACTGCATGAAGCAGCCAAATTTAGTCTGCACAGTCACCCTCAATCCTAACACCTGACACTGAAACATTCATGCTCTCAACATAATTTTGTGTTTAGGACATTGCCTGCTTTCACAGTGACGCTGCATTTAGAAGAGAGTAAAGGTAATTCTGTACCTACCCATTACTTAGTAGTGCTGCCACACTGCCTCTATTAAGAGCCCTCAGAAAACATTTGAATAATAGATGTTATAGAGATCTCAGAATATAGCTTAAGAATTTGCTCCCAGGTTCATGCAACATTTTATAGGCTCTTAAAGTGAATTACTGAGAAATGTGATAGCTGCTTTATTCAGACTGGACAGTTCAGCACAACTTCACATTTTGCCATTTACTACAGAAATGATACAAAACCTCTAGATACCAGAGCAGTTAAGTACAAAAATGCAGAATACCCAGACTTATCCAGATTTGATCAGAAAACAAAACAAAACCCCCAAACCACCACAACTTCAGCCTTCTTCCCTCCCTGTTTCTGAGGGTTTTTTCTTTTCGTTCAAAGCAGCTATTACATTGCACATCTGTATGCCCGCACTTCCTCTATCCATTCAGTGGCAGCTGCTTCCACCTGCACATTAGCATATCCAAAGAACCCCTGGATGTGATAGAGAAGCAAATGCTCAATGGGAAGAGTCTTAACATCAACCTGAATTAAAAACTTTCCAATAAAAAAAAATAAAATACTGTTGATCAGGCAGTAGACAAAATTATCCTAAGTCCCACATCCCTTTCCTACAAACAGTTGATAGATTCAACAACTTCCATGTTCCAAAGCTTCCTAGAAATAAGGCTGTTAACCCACACTCTGTTGCAATTCTACATACATATTTCCGAGGCCACCTCATATCTGTTCTAAACCGCTATGACAGCAAAACATAATGGCCCAGTAACGGTCATTTTTGCAGGACATGGCAGTCTTCAGGTTCAGTACTAGTCGCTAAGCTCCAGATCGTATTCAGGGTAGAGCTGCTTTGTAGTAACCCCTCGGATAACAGCTAGAAAAGAAAGAAATACCATTGCTTTCGTTAAACAAAGATCAGATCGGTCAGAAAAGCTGCATTTTCCTCCCAGTGGCCCCTATCCCATAGAGCCTCCCATACCTATTAAACCAATCTAAGGTATTGCAGCTATACCCCCTGCTTGTCTCTTCCACGCTTTTCTTTTTTCAAGATTATGGAGAACAAAACTGACAAAAATTACTAAGACTTATCAAATTTTGGTACTCCATAACGCAGATTAAAATACCGCTAAATAACAATTATTTCACATGTTCAGTTCTAACAATATCCCAAGAAAATAACAAGAGAATTGTTTGTGCTTGCACAAGTGATTGGGTGATGTAAGCCTGGAATTGAAGAATCTTTAAGACAAGCTCTGCCTTTATGGTGTAGTAGCTTCTCTCTCTCTGTCTATATGAAAATGTTGATTAAGAAGTTCTTTAATAGCCTTCCCCTTCCTTACCCAGCTTGCCTAGCAACATCTGTCCAGCATCTTTAATATCGTTATACTCATGGAGCAGAGAGATGTGCTTCTCTAATTCCTCCAGGCTGTAGCCTCTGTAACAATAAAGCCAGAAAGGTCAAGAATGACACAGCAGGATTGCTGCTGTATAGCGAGTGCTGCCAGCACCGACAAGCACAGCAAGGGTATTTGAGACTCTCAAACCTGGCATATCTAAAGCAGAATGGTATTTGAGACTCCCAAACCTGGCATATCTAAAGCAGAATCTGAAGACAGCAAGTACAGTTGCTGCAACTCATAAACATGAAGGCTACAAATGAGCAGATCCTCATTTTAGTTTTTTTTGCCACATCAAGACTTATAAAAAAAAAACCAAACCAAAGAAGTTCACCTGAAGTCTCAGAATCAAGTAGAAAGAGGAATAGGCTGTTGTGAATTCAACGTATAGGTCTCTCTAATCTGTAGCTAGGGAAAAAAACCTAAGAAGATCCGTTTAACCTCAAGGCTAAAAAAAAACTTTTGGAACAGCCTTTGTCATTCTACCATTTCCATTTTACACACTACACATTATCTTAGAAAACATCACTCCTTCGCAATGAATAACCCACAGCAATTCCCTCTCTTTAATAATCAAGCACCAATTTTATCTCAGAACAGTTGCTAATAAGCATCTGCCTCAGTCTGTCACAAGAAACCACAATAAAACAGCCACGCTATCCTGTACTATGTGGCACTCATTGTGCCAGAGCATTCTTGCCTGGAGAACATCTCTGCTTCTTGAACACAAAGGTTTAACCTGCTTGCCTCAGATACAAAACAGGCAAACACTTGATCAAGATGGAACAAAAAAGGAAACAGCTTTATCTGGGACTTGGCAGGTCATACAAGTCTTGATCTCAGTTTTAATTCTGACATTAACAAGCTCTTCTGGTAGCATGGCATGTTGTAATATCACAATGGTTATAAATTATTCATCCCCAATTTACACATAATTACCTCAGCAACATCTGGGGTAAAGTTAAAATCTTCTGAACCAAGCTCCTAGTAAAACTTGTTTGGCTTTACCAAATAAACCAGAAAGAATCCCTTCTTGTCTTTAATGGGTCCCACAACTCAAAACAACACTGTAATCAACACTGCGTAGCACCATGATACAAATGGCATCATAAGAGGTCAGCTTATAGCAATAATTCCTGGACCATACTTAATTTTTAAAACCAAAATAATTGAGGCATCACATTGGACACTGAGCTTGCCAAGGACATACTCAGACAACAATTGTGCAATTTCCTGGTCTAGAGCAAGGTCTTTCTGTTTCAGCTCTTCAATTTCATGCTGCAGGGCTTCTTCCTCAGCTCCATTAGGTTGGCAGGACCTTGGAGATGGGATCTGTAGAGCACAGAACATGTTTAACACTTGCTAGCTCAGCACTGGGTAAGATGGAAGGCACTGATCAGAAAATACACTGCGTATCACTGTATAAAAAAAAGAGAAAAAAGAAAAGGAAAAAAAAAATATCTCCCGGGCAGGGAGGGGTGGAAGCTCAGGTAAAATATTTGTAGTTTATGTAACGACAGCCTGCTCCGTGTCATATTCTACAGCACTTTGTAGATTTACAGCGTAAAGTGAAAAAGTTTAAAAAA